AAAGTGAAACTACTTTGTTTGGTCTTCCAAAAGAGGACGATATCCGCTTCGTCATGCCTAGAGCTGATCCGTGCTGGTCGTTGAGGAAGTACTACAACTTTACGCTGTGGATCGCCGGATCGGCTTTCACCATGGACGAAGCGAAGAGTCCAGCCCGGGGTCGTCACATGTGGTTGCCGCAAGCCCACCGGACGCTCCTTCGTCGAATCCGCCGGCCGCGCCGTTCTCAAGGCCACCGCCTCTGCTCACTCTAGCATAAACACATTTCATTACACCAAATACACAAAATGATGTTCTTTTTAGCAACATCATATGACCCCTTTAAACATTACAGTTATGCCTTACAAGACAGCATTCAGAAAATGTGTTTTTACGTAGTGTTTATCACTTCACATAATGTGATGCAGGCACACAGACGCTGAATCCCTCAGTAAAACTGGAGCTTGCTGATTTAAGGAGAATTTTATGCCCTCACACTTATGCTCTTAAAATAAGTCAAGTGAAGTAACATTAACCACAAAATCATTGGACTTGCATAGTAAGTGGTGTTTTGATGTGTAGATATCATTGACACGAAAATCCAGAACTGGCTAGTTCAAGTCCAGGCAGGCTTCCCTGAGCCTGAGGCAGGACTTAAGTTTGTCATTTCAACTGACTAATACACTTTTTAGAGGCTGTAAACTGCAGGTGGTGACCTTCCTCGTGGGCTGTTACATGTCATTTTACTAACTGCTTTTTGATTTTCAGAGTGAAATATAAGCTGATGCAGTCAGTTTGATTGCCTGAGGCAGACTTATAACGTTTTCCCTCCTTCAGGAGACTGTGGAGAAGATGAAGACCAGCACAAAGGAGGTCTAAAACAGGACCGAGACACGAGGAGGGAGATGACGTGGATGAATTCCTCTCCTACTGATCACAGTCAGGATTCCTGAGATTATGTACTGTTAATGGAAGAATCACACCGTTTTCTATAGATAGGTTATTACTTTTATTGCTATCCATACCGCATCTATTCTCTGGTTAGTGTGTTTCATGTTACGGTTTGCTTTTCTACGTATTTCATTAGCTTTGTTTGTTCTTTTGTGTCTTTGAGTGCTGTAAATTGTTTGATTGTGTCACTCCAAACAGGCCTCAGCACTTTATAATGGGGGCCCTTCCCTTGTTTTATTCACTATTGTTTGATTTTATGTATCATTCTTTATACCATTTATTTGTTTGTCTATCTACAGTTATATGTGGACATGTTTTTTTTTTTTTTTTTTGATTGAGACAATGGCAATAGAAGAAGAAAAAAGAATAGGAAAGGGTTCGAGAGTGATGCTGAGAGAGCAAAACAACACTGGTTCATCCATCAAACTGTGATTTTAGAGCTTCAGAACGAGAGATATCCTTCAGTCAGATGGTAGATACTCGTGCTAGTAGGAGCTTGATGGATATAAATGCAAACTAAATGAAGCTAATCATGGCCGCTCTCTCTTTCACTCTCATCTTGAAGGCAGTCATAGTCTTGAGACCTTTCGTAAAGGTGCTAATGTTAGTATTCCTCTGTTTGCTGCTTTGCTCTCTTTCTTTAGATGGTAGATAACGCTCGGTAGGATATACAACACTAGAAGCAGAGACAGCGTGGCTCAGTGGAGAGAGCAGGCAATACCTTTGAATTTAATATCATTTTGGGAAAACAAACCCACCATGTTATTATTACTTGACAAACATGCTTTTTCTGCCATTAGCGACTTCGATTAGAGTAGATCACCTCCATTAGTAGAAAACTGCTGCACAGATGCATTGGCTACGCTTGAGCTTGTATTTATATTAGTTGCTAGAGGTAGTTCATGCTGAAACTCTCACGCTGTGCTCAGTCCCACCAAGAAATTAACTTAACAAGCCAAATTTATAAGAAATAAAGCAGTTGGGACTGAGTACAGATGGAGTGATCTGAAACCAAAGCCTGATGTTTAGGATGTTTAAATTGTTGTACGAAAACCTCCAGGTGTACCACTACTCTGGACCCAGCAACTACTTTATACCTTTTACGTAAAATAACTGTCAGAATAAGGATTAGATTCGCTATTGCCTCTGTAGCATAGTTGCATTCTTACCCACTCTAGAGAATTTGTGTGTATGTGTGCAAAATGCACGTGTGTGTGTTAGATCGTTTCATTTCCACTATATTCCACTAACAGTACGGATCCTTTGTGGTAATGAGTGCCTTATATACACAAACAGTGTGCCATGGATGAAGTGGCTTCTTCTGTAGCTATACACCACCTAATATAGGACACAGTGCACATGAATTTTCCAGTATTACGGTAGACAACTAGCAATTGCCTTTTATGTCTGTATGATTGTCTTATTCAGTGGGGCAGAATTAAAACATTTTATTGTAAAAACTCTTGTTCTGTTTTATTCATATTTACTTCTCTGATTATTATTTGAAATGTAATTTGTGCTAATAATAATGTAATAATAAAAATAAAAGGTACGACCCTTTGATATCTTAAGCCTTACAAAAATGTATTATGATCTATTGTGTGGGTTTTTTATTTTTGTTCCTTTTGGAAATAAATGGTATCCTGCATAACTGTTTTGAATGTGGCTTACATATTTCCCTCAATTCACAAGTGGCTGTAAGATTTTGTTACATGAAAGACATACTATTGCACAGAAACGCATTGTTTATAGGTTTTCATAATGTTTTAATGTCTGTGTTAATCCATTTATTTCGTTCCAATTTATAAATTCTAGTCAGTTTTTACAGATTTTACACCGGTAATTAGATTCAGTGGTCAATAAAATGCCATTAAATCACTGCTGATTGAAACTTTGCATCACTTCAACGTTTTAATTAATGTATAGTTTTCGATGTTAGTTGGTTGAATTAGACATATATAGTTTCTAGGTTTATTTTAGTATTATTTCTAGACTATTATAGTATTTATTAATATTTTGAATTAACCTTTGTTTATATATTTTCAGCTTTCATTATAATTAAAGTGTATTTATTCATTTATTTTAGTTCTAGTTTCAGTCACTTTAGTAGGCTACTAGTTCCCAGCTAAACATTCCTATTTTTTTTCTAATATTTATATTTTATAGCTTTATTTCAGTTACGATTTTAATAAATTTAGCTATAGCAAACACTGGTTTCTGAGGGAAAGCAGTTACAAAACATGACTAGTTTGACAAATATCCTAATAAATGTACTCCCTTGTAGTATTAAATCTGTGTTAAAAAATAAACAGTCAAAGTTATGAAAACTCTGCCACTTCGAACTGACCCTATAGATAAAACAAGATGGATGGGTTACGAAAAGAAATTCACTGACTTCTATAATGAAATAAGCTGTGCTTGCATAACCAGCAAAACGGAGCAAAATTACCCTAAAAACTAAAGAAAATAAATGCTTTTGATTAATTTCATGGATTTTAAAGATAAGAGACTGGATAAGTCGTTCTAGAAGAGAAGAAAGGAAAGTTTGTTCGAGTTATTTGTAGTATAAAACATGTCAGGCAACTCGATAGTTCTAGTATGGCAAGCCCGTTTAGCTTAAACTATTACCAGATCGTTATAATTGCATTTTTACTAGTAACAATTCATTTAGAGAGCTCCATAATTAAATTCCTACTAGTAACAATGCCAGTTAGAGAGCTCTCTAAATCAACTTTTACTAGTTACAGTTACAATTAGACAGCGCTCTAATTTAATTAGTAACAATTATGATTAAAGAGCTCTCTAATTCAATTGTTACTAGTAACAATTTAATTATGGAGCTCTCTTGAATTAAAGAGCTCTGCAACTACATTCTTACTAGTAAGAATTCAATTAGAGAGCTCTACAATTCAATTCTTACTAGGAAGAATTACAAGTAGACAGCTCTTTAATGCAATTCTTACTAGTAACAATTGAATTATAGAGCTCTCTATCTGAATTAGAGAGCGCTGTAATTGGAATTCTTGCTAGTAATAATTGAATTAGAGAGCTCTCTAATTATAATTGTTACTACAATTGTTACATCGCAGCCATATCACCCTGTAGCCCTGTAGCCCAAGACTGGTTGCCCACTGAAGCTACGCAGGGTTGAGCCTGGTCAGTACCTGGATGGGAGACCTCCTGGGAAAACTAGGTTGCTGCTGGAAGAGGTGTTAGTGAGGCCAGCAGGGGGTGCTCACCCAATGGTCTGTGTGGGTCCTAGCGCCACTATACTGTCAACAAGCACCGTCCTTCGGATGAGATGTTAAACCGAGGTCCTGACTCTCTGTGGTCATTAAAAATCCCAGGATGTCTTTCGAAAAGAGTAGAGGTGTAACCTCGGCATCCTGGCCAAATTCGCCCGTTGGCCTCTGACCATCATGGCCTCCTAACAATCCCCATATCTGCTGATTGGCTTCATCACTCTGTCTCCTCTCCACCAGTAAGCTGGTGTGTGGTGGGCGTTCTGGCGCACTATGGCTGCCGTCGCATCATCCAGGTGGATGCTGCACACTGGTGGTGGTTGAGGAGATTCCCCC